AGGCTGCGAGTGGAGGCAAACAGGGAAAGCAATCGATTCCTTTGTTACCTCCTGCAAGAAACCCCACACCAAATATCGTCTGCAGGATTGGCAGGGAGCACCCAACAGTCCCAGCCTGCCAGGAGGGATCAGCTCAGTGCCCAGGAAGGAAACAAATCAATGGCAATCGAGGATTTGCTGTTCATTTTCATGGTTCTGCTAAAGAATTGATTTACCCTGGGGGTCACACACGGGCTCTGTAACTCCTGCTGAATTCAGGCTGCTTGTGGAGCAGTAAGGAATGCTCTTATTTCTGGCAGTATTGATTTTGAAGCAGAGGTTAAATCATTTTGATTTCAGAATAGTAAGACCTTCCTTTAGCTTCAGACCATTCCTTCCTGGCAATACGGATGCAGTTTGTCCATGAAATACAGTAATAAAACACATTTTTAACCTTCAGAAATTAAAGAGAAGTCGTTGGCAGCAGTCAGAAAAACAGAAGTGGGGTAGACATAAGGGTAAATACAATCAGCTCTCTACCAGCCGCTTTTCATCATTTTTCAGAAGGATTTGTTAACAACCAAAACTTCAGAGCATGAAATTAAACCAAATACCATTGACGAAGGCTTCACACACAGCTGGCATCTTTATTTCTTCTGTTGCTCTCTTATGAAAAGCAAATTCCCAGTAGGGATCAGAGACACAGGGCAGAACTGAAATTGTGCTCTATCCCTTCTTCCTTTTCCCCAGAAGATTCAGTTCAGCAAGGAGAACAGCTCAGTCAGCACTGCTCATTCAGCTCTCTGGGCTGTGCCACATCTGCCATGTGCACATGCTTGCATTTCAAGCCCTGGAAATGAGACCTAAGTAGGGTTCTGTATATTAAAAAAGCCCAATCAAAAAGGGGAAATAACATTTTCAGAAGCTTTGTGTTTGTTGAAGCTTCAGTAAAAACAAAAGTCACCTCTTTAGCTGTGTTTTAAGATTTATAAACCCATCTGCATTCCTTCATCACTAGTTAGGTTTTTCCCCAAAAGAAGTGCCCTCAGCTGACAGCAAACCATGTCCTGACTGACCTTTCCTCAAGAAAGAATAAGAATTTTAGGAGGAATGAATGTGCATGCAAACCCAGCCTGAATATAGGGTCAGTAACACCTCCAAAAAGCTGCATTAGAACGATTAGCAATACAGAGTTCCCTAACAAAGTCCTGAGCATGAAATTCCAAGCGTGCAGCTCTAAAAGTATGGGCAAGGAGCATTCCTAAATGTTCCAGTGTTACTGGAGTGGCCATCTGGAGGCAAGAAAACAAACATCTCTTCCTATCACCTGATCCACAAAGGGGCACATTCAGCTCACCTGCTTTTTGATTCCCCAACACAAGAGAGATTTCACAGCATTTTCAAGCTTCAAAGACAGACAGATTATTGTCTTCTTATCTCCATATAAAAGGAAGAGTAATTTTATGAGTAAGCGTTCCTAATAAAAACTATCAGAGTTGTAAACACCTTTAATGTAAGTTATCATTCTACAGGCAAGTTTTAAAGTAACAGTAGCCCTGAAATTGCAGTTTTAATAGCTGTCATTAAAACACTTAATTGCACGTTTGTGATTATGTTATTATTACTGGGGTGGAATTGCTCTCTAGAACAGCTCATGTACAATAGAGAACCATCTCCACTGCCTGTACAAACAAACTCTAAATTTAGAGTTCCAGTGGTGAGCACCACATTTGTTATTATTGATACTGTTTCATCAACCACTTGTTAGAAAACGAGAAAATTTTCTTCCCCAAAGATCTCAAAGTACATTTGATTTAACACACATGAAACTTCACTTTTAACAACCACTGAGACAACTCCCTTGGCCACTGCTTTAGTAGATAAATTGCACCTGGCATTTGAACAGGTGAAGAAAAAAAACAACCTTGGAGCTCAGTTTTCCTGGCAATCCATCTTTCTGAATTCTGCCAAGGAGCACTGTGCTGCTGCTGCTGGTGCCACACAGATCTGTCCTGTTCTGCCTTTATCACTCACTGCAGAAAATGGTACAAATATAGGACTCCACATGGCTGAGTTTTGTGGATTTTCACAGCAGCCCATTGCCTCAGAACTGTTCTCACTTCCCTACCACCCCACAGAGTCCAGAGAGGGCCCATGTTCCACCAGCACATTGCACAGGCAGCACACCAAACCCTTTCTCCACCCACTGCCATGCCCCACACAGTCCAAGGCTATGGCAGTTCACTTTTTCCCTTCTATTTTGTATTCCCTGAAAGCCATCCCACCAGAAACATGCACGGAACTGCAGCCTAAGTTACTGCACTGCAGGTTCAGTGGCTCTGAAGCTGCTGACATGCTGGGCCTGAGCAGGAAGGAGCTGAGCAGAGCCAAGAAATGATCCTTGGGAAGGCACACTCGGATTAGCAATCAATCAGCTCTAAGAAAACAGAGGGCTAGCCCAAAATTTTGGTAGCCTCAAACTAAAAGACAACATGCAAATGTACGGCTCCTTTTTTATATCTCCACCCTGTTCTGTTACACAAAGTAGGAGATAGCAGACCCAGGGAGCAGATCATTTGAACATTGCCATTTTAGTTATCTTATTCTCACGTTGGTGTTAAAAATCTGCAGTCAAACCCAGCAATCTTATCCTGCAATGTAAATCTTTTTAAATAAAATGCCTTATTCAAAGCTTACTATTGTTAGCTGATATCAAATCAGTGTAGCAAATTGCCATCGGAGTATCTTGATCTAATTATGTTCTGGAAAGAATCGAAATAGATCTGAAGAAAATTCAGATAATGGAACAGGCAAAACAAGAAAGGGAAAGGAGGAGCATAAACAAAAGATAAAAGAAGAACAGAGAATAAAGGATAACGCTCTGAGATACAAAAAAATAGGATTGATACTGAAACTGTTGGGGCTATGTGCAGAGACATCGATAAAGCAAGAGGAACCCCAGGGATTAAAAATGTTCCCATCATCTACTGCAGAAAATGAACTTACATCATTCACAGGGATGTGAAAATGGTGTGCTTGGGGAAAATCAAACAATGGGGCTGAGCTGGAATCTCTGAGCAGGCAATGTTCATGGATACCCTGTCAGTGAATGCAGTTGCAGTCAATGCAGCCAAAACCTTCCCCTCCTATGGCTCTGCCTATGACTGACAGCCCTGCACAACTCTCAGCAATACAGGGGAATAATGCTCAAAACCAGGAAAAATAGTCCAAGGATACAGGAAACACATCTTCTTTCATTTGGATGACATTCAGTACTAAAAAGTCTGTGGGCTCTCAAAAATTGTGTTACAATTCTTTGTCTTTCAAGATAAAGGGAATAAGAGTCTCTTTCCATTTATTTTTCATGTCAATTTTTATAAGGGTACACCAATTATAGAAGATCCTATTTTTTCCATGCCCTATCCCACGCAATTTGCCTCAACGTTCTGAGGATCCCAATGCTTAATGCAGAATTCTGTAAATATACCCAAATTAATTACAAAGATTTTGTTAACTTCTCAGTACAAATTCTTTCCCCAAAAAAGGCCAATCCTAAAGAGAAGAGGAATATCTTTCCTGTCTGTAAGTACAAACTTAGAATCCTTTAGTGCTGGAATTAGAAGGGATGTGTGAATACGAGTAGTGTCAAAATACAAAGGATACTGAATGAAAACCCACACCTCTGTAAAGGGAAACAACTCATTGTAATTTGCACCTCTTTTGCAAGCATAGCCCTTACAAATAGCTCCTTGCAAAGAAACCCATCCAAAATAAAAATACGTCGTATTCACTCCACAAATTGCAGCTACCCAACCCGGAGAGGCAATTCTAAAGTCCTAGGGTGTGGTTCAGTTCTCCTGTTAATAACAAGCTGTTAGTAACAGGATATAAAGCCACTTTCAGAATCAATTTTCTCAGAGGGACACACAGACATTGACCCGGGGAGCACCCGTGTGTCACAGAGCAGCATCGGGGCACTTCTGATCCACAAACTTAACAACCCAGATGTCTCTCCCTGCTGATTTCCCTGGCCCAAGCTGCCAAGGAGAGCAGACTACAGGCAGCAGCCTCAGAGGAAGGAACCGGCCTCCTTTCAGGGAGATAAAGCTTGGCTTGAAACAGAAGCCAACAATATTCCTGGGCCTAATCAAAGACTTTTTTCACTACTTTTTACAGTCATTTTCTTTGTACTTCTGGCACCATCTTTGTTAGGAAGATTTATTGTCTGCTTTTTAAAATTTATCAGTTTGCAACAGCCACCAGATGAAGGGATCTCTTAAATCACTCTGTATGGGGAGAGTGTGAACATGTGTCTTACGGTGAGAGCTTTAAACTCTCCCATTCTAGAAAACCTCTTAGAAACATCAACAATGAGAGGAACATTTTTGAGACGGTTATACTCAAGACATGCTGTTTACAAGGTGCTGGATATTTTGAAGTTACTGAATTAAAATTATTCAAATTGGCTGTGCCCATTAAAGACTAAAAAGGAGATTTTTTAATTATATGAGAAATTAAGACAGTAACAGATTTATTTGTTGATTGATAATACCTGACAAAATAAAGGTTTCAGACAAGAAGAATGTTAAACGTTGCTATTGTAGTTACCACTCTAAGTTCTTTTTAAAAGGTGTATTTATTTAACTATTTAAGTTACAAATCCAAGCAACTATTGCATCATCTTACAGGACTGGGATCGCTGTTGAATATCAGTGCAGGATAATAGGATAGATAAAAGTTCTCTGAAAGAGAAAGCACCAGAACCAGCAGCAAGGTGGGGTTGGTCAGCCCTTCATTTGAATGTAAATGTAATTATGAGGCAGGCAGTTGGGCTGACGTCAGACAAGATCTTGGTAAACCATTACCACCAGCACCTGGTAACACAGTTGATAATAAAAGAGGATGAAGTAGAAGATTCCAAGCAGAGTGGCATTATTAGAGAAAACCAAATATTTTTGAGCAGTAAAAGAAGACACTGAGGAACAAGATGTTGTGACGCCGTGTTTACATCTGGGACAGCCATGTACGTGAGCTCGCTCTTGGAGAAGGAGCCCAGCATGTACCCAGGATCTGCCAGGGCCAACAGCAACAACCTGCCCGTGCAAAACTTCGTGTCTGCTCCAGCCTACTCCGACTACATGGGATACCACCCTGTGCCAGCCCTGGACACCCACGGGCAGCCAGCCCCAGCCTGGGGCTCCCACTACGGCCCCCAGCGCGACGACTGGAGCGCCTACGGCCCAGGCCCTTCCAGCGCCGTGCCCGCTGCCCACATCAATGGCTCGTCCCCTGGCCAGGGCTCCTACAGCTCTGCTGATTACAGCTCCCTGCACCTCGCTGCTGCTGCAGGGTTACCTCCTGTAGATACAATTCATGCCCAGCAAATCTCTCCCAACAGCCAAAGGCACAGCTCTTATGAGTGGATGAGGAAAACGGTGCAAACCAACACTGCTGGTGAGTGCAAATTCAACTCTCAACCTCAGAAAGCATCTTCTGCTATCACAGAGCTTAGAAATAATTAACTTTACCTAAAGCACAGAGGTTGGTGGGTCATTTATGACATTTATTTAACCTACTGATGTTGAATGCAGTTTTAACTAAATTTGTGGTAGTTTCACTTTCTCCCATAAAGGCTTTATGTGGTTGCTGTAGTGGAATGGCTGATGTGGTGGGACATGGTTTGAGCTCAGCTCCAGGAATCCCTGTTGGAACATTCTGTAAAGCATTTTGTGTGATAAAAACATGATAATCATGAAAGTGTTATGGAGCAATGCAGAAACATTTAACAGATACAGACGGAAACAGTTATTTTGTGCTGCAGGGGAAATATCAATATAGAATCAGGTTGATCTCTTTAAACCTTACAGACTCCTCCATAATTATAAAGAAAACTATGTGCTCTGATCTAACTGCAGTGATTATGCAATTTTCTGCAATTTTCCTGCTATTTTTCTGCCCAGATTTATTAGGTGAGCACAAATATTCCTAGAGAAGCAATCTGACTCAAACAATCAGCATAGACTATTTTGTTTGCAGATCACATAATTCCTTGGTTAAGCTTTCTTTTCATTTAATTTCACATCAATTTTACTTCCCTACATGCCAGAATTTTTCAGCTTCCACAATTACACAATTAAAAATCTCTTTCCTGCAAGTGTCACTCACTGATGTGCCTGTTCTTGTCACAAGCTGCCTGCCAGATGAACCTTTCCATGTATTTTCCCAAGGTGGAAACTGGGTGTAGCAAGGTTTGCTAAATCTGTTGTTAAGGTTAAAAGTAGTAAGAGTGTGTTAGAGAGCATCAAAGAAATGCTCCAAAGAAAGCAGAGCAAGTACTATTGGAGCAATCTTAGAAGACACAAAAAATCTGCATTGGTGCTTCAGATAGAATCCTCCTTCAAATGATTATTATTCAGAAGCAAAATTAGCCTGGTAATTGTTTCTAAATTATAAAGCAGGCACACATTGTTTAGCCTCTGTTACTAAATATAAAATGCCTGGTGAACATTAGGATATCACAATGCTCTCCTGCCACTTGGAGCCTCTACAAAGGCCTTCAAAGCCAGGCAGATTGAGTCTGCTTTCCCCCCCTTCTGTATACTCATGTAAATCCCAGTAACTTCATTAACATCATTGGAGATTGCCAGGTGTAGAAGTGATGCAAGACTTGAGTGTAGATCAAATTCAGCTGAGAGTACTGAATGTCAATGAGGCAGCTCTGGCTGTGTCATGTTGGCACTGAATTTTCAATGTGTGGCGTTCTTGAAGAATTACATTGTT